CAGTGGATAGAGTGTCGGCCTGGGGAATGAAGGGTCCTGGGCTCGATTCCAGTCAAGGGTATTACCTTGGTTGCGGGCACATCCCCAGTAGGGGGTGTGCAGGGGGCAGCTGATCGATGTTTCTCTCTCATCGATGTTTCTAACTCTCTATCCCTCCTCTTCCTCTCTGTAAAATATAGTAAAAAAAAAAAAAGACTAGAGGCCTGGTACCCGAATTCATGCATGGGTGGGGTCCGGCCAGCTGGGGGAAGGAGACATGGGAGGTTGGCCGGCCAGCCGCACCCCCCTGGTCGAACTCCCGGTTGAGGGGACAATTTGCATATTAGCCTTTTATTACATAGGAGGAGGATAATGGGGAACACTTCTGGAAAATGGTTTGTCTTCTGGCCTCAGAGTATTCCTTATCAGAGCCTAGGGTCCCTGGGCCCCTGCACTCAGTACTTGGTGGACCATCATCACACCCTTCTATACAATGGGTATGGCGTGCCTGGCTGATTCACTCGGAAGAGTCCTTGTATGCCATGGTATTGTGCAAGTCTAAAGGCATCACGAATGGTCGGGCTCAACTACTCTGGTTCTTGCACACTTTCCTCTTTGGGATAGCCTTCCTTTCCATATTGATTGTTTACAGACCAAAATGCCAAAAACAAACTTAAAGAAGATATCCAAACTTTTCTCTACACTTTGACATCCAACTTCATTTTATTGGGGGATGGTGTGTTTACTCGACCTTTCTATTTTCTGGAAAGTTACGGCCCTCTAGTTATTCGTTAATTCATATTCTCTGGTTGGGCTTGAGTAGATAATAGGACAGTGATGGAGAACCTATGACACGTGTGTCAGAGGTGACACGCAAACTCATTTTTTTGGTTGATTTTTCTTTGTTAAATGGCATTTAAATATATAAAATAAATATCAAAAATATGTCTTTGTTTTACTATGGTTGCAAATATCAAAAAATTTCTATATGTGACACGGCACCAGAGTTAAGTTAGGGTTTTTCAAAATGCTGGCACGCCGAGCTCAAAAGGTTCGCCATCACTTTAATAGGAAAAGGTTTTAGCTTTCCAAGTCTGCAGACTAACTTATTTGACAAAGTGCTCCCAGCTACCTTCTCAAAGGCCTTGGCTGTGTTGGTGCTCTCTCCCTATCATCTGGTTTAAGCCATGTATTAAATTTGCTTGTTGGTATACTTGTGCTCCCACCTTCTATCTAAAACACCTTACCCATACCACCTCCATCTTAGCCTATTAGGGGTTACTCTTTTGGTAAGGTAAAATATTTTAGAGTTAATCAATGGAAATCCAACTCAGATTTTTTAAACGCATGGTCCTCTCCAAGGGAAATTATGAAAATAGTATTAATGGTGCCAGGAACAATATAGTGCATTATGGAATGAAATGGATTAGCTACTAAAATGCTGTGAATTGTCTTTCCCCCCAAAAAAATAAAAAAAAATAAGAAAGAAAATGTGTAAGTATAAATGAGGTATTAGAATTATTTGTTATAAAAATTAAATAACATGAACACAGTCTGTAAAGTATAAAGCATTAATATGATTTTTTTTCTTAGAAGACAAAGCTGATGTTCCCAAGTTTTTAATATAAACTCTGACCTCAGATTTCCTGGGAGTTAAAGATTTCTAGGGTGGTCAATTCCAAATGATAAAAAGGCCCAGCAAGTGGCTATGGGTGTTAAGGAGCTAATGTGGGATGAAAGTGGTCACTAGTGGTAAAGAACAGGTAGTCAAGAAATACTTGCTAAATAAAATATATATGTGTATATGTATGTTATTATAGCCTGTCCAGACTTACTAAAAAGAAACTAAGTTATAGATGCCATAACATTATTTGGTTAACTTAATGACTGAGCCAAATGAAGCTAAGATGAGCAATGTACAAAATGCATGGCAAGCCCTAATGCCCCTCTTACTTTGACTCTATCTTCTACACTGCAGTGTAATTGCAAATAAAAGGAAGGAGACTCACCTAATCAAGAAACAAAGCAATTAAAACCTCCCCCTTGAAACCTAAATTATTTAAAAAATTTCATGCAATATTGGAATTGCAAATATCGTATCAGTTTTAATTTTATACATCATTCAGGATAAGTATATACTAGAATGAGTTTGGAGAAGGCACTAGGCTTTTGGATAGGTCCCAAGTGTTTGGAGACAAACTTCCTAAAGAACTAGTGATGTTTGAAAAAGCTCCCTACTGAGCTTTTTACACTAAACACTTCGTAGTTTCTCACTGCTTGGCATTAATCACTTCCATAAATAGACTATGTCAGCAATATCTGAAGCCTGATTCTAAAGTATGCAGATTCTTAAACTTTCTGTGCATATTTTTTAACCATGATCTCCCTGGGTTCAGCAATTTACTTTGTAAATCTTACCCTTTACATTAGAAACCAAGGGATAAGATTTAAATGCCTAGAAGAACCTATATTCAAATGGTTACCATTCTGTGGTCTGAATCTTTGAAACAGTACTACAAATTCTTATTAAATTCTCCCATTCAGTACACTTCTAACACCCAGAAATCAAAGAAAGACAATGAAACTATCTGGGAGTTTGACTAGTCAGGTTTATGTTGACAGCATGATATAGCAGATAAAACTATAGGCTTTGGCATCAGGCAACTTGGATTTGAATCCCCGTTCAATCACTGAGTTAACACTGGACAAGCTACTTAACCTCTCTCTGATCCTCAACTTTCTCATCTGCATTATGGAAATAATAATGCCCTACCTAACAGGAATGTTCTATTAAATATGCCCAAAAATGTCAATTCCCTCCTTTGCCACTGGAAAATACTATTTAACTAAAAAATTTAGTTGCATTCACATAAAACCAAAGCTGAAAACCACAAGAATTTCTTGAAATTGAGATGAAAACAGAAGTGTAACACCTATCTAAGGCTAGAAAGAACCACCTAGCATGACAAAGGAAAACAAAGAGTTAAATAAATGTGTTCCCAAGACCCCCAAACCTTGGAAGACACAAATGTAAAACAAGCCAAGTCATTATCACTCAATGGAAAAGGAATGTACCCCCAACAAGATGACTCTTAACTCTCAATTACAATAAAAGCTTTTGAAACATAAACCAGAAAATGCTGACAAGTCCTGTTACTTAAGACAAGATGCCCAGCCAGCACGGCTCAGTGCTTGAGCATCGATCTATGAACCAGGAGGTCACGGGTTCAATTCCCAGCCAGGGCACATACCTAGGTTGCAGCTCAATCCCCAGTAGGGGGTGTGCAGGAGGCAGCTGATCAATATTCTCATCATTGATGTTTCTACCTCTCTCTTCCTCTCCTTCTCCCTTCCTCTCTGAAATTAATAAACATACATTTTTAAGACAAGATGCAAGAAGCTATGCAGTTTATTTTCTTTCTTGGCTACTTGATAAACATACATTTTTAAGACAAGATGCAAGAAGTTTATTTTCTTTCTTGGCTACTTATTTTTCAAATAATTTTTTAAAAATGCATTTGAAGGCCTGGCCAGTGTGGTTCAATGGTTGAGTGTGCACCTATGAACCAGGAGGTCACGGTTTGATTCTGCTCACGGAACATGCCTGGGTTGCTGGCATGATCCCCAATAGAAGACGTGCAGGAGGCAGCTGATCAATGGTTCTCTCTCACTGATTTTCCCTCTCTTCCTCTTCATTCCTCTCTGAAATCATAAAAATATATTTTTAAAAAATGCATATGAGGATGGGTGTATTTTAGGTACATATTAAAGGAAATTAATGAGCCAACGTCCAGAATCTCTGTCAAGCTCTCTTCCACTAAAGAGGAACCTAACACTATCCATTCAACAAACTGCCAAATAACTCATATTTACTATTATAAAGTATAGCTTTGGAAACTCAGCCCTGACCTGTATCCTTCCTAGAACAGGAAAACTTCAGAGAAAATCTCAAAATTAACTGCATGGTCATGAGCCCCAATAACCAATAATTGCTCTTTTACTAATCCCAGGTGTGAAAATGTTCCCCAAATGCTTCATGCAGGATAACTATATTCTAGAATGAGTTTCGAAAAGGCACTAGGCTTCTCCCTCCTATAGATCTATCACTACTTAACGCCTTGCCTTGTGGGCTTGGCATTCGGTTATTCTGACTGGCACGCCTATTCATGAGGATCCCTCCCTCAGGCTGAGTCTGTTTACTCACATCACATACCAGGTCTGGTAACTGTGGGCTCCGGGGCTCCATCTAAACCTCAGGGTTTCAAAGCTGGCACTGTCTAGTGAAACCCCTGATCTGCTCCTGTCTTCCTGATAGGTCCCCAGGGCCCTGGTGCTCTTTCCTCCTCTACCATGTTCTCAGAACTGGCATCCTTGTACATTATGGTCACTTCCAAACTGTGCTGAACTGCAGGTGTAGCACCCCTGGGTCTCGAAGGTCCTCTTAGCCTGTAACTTGGGTGTCAGTGTTTCCAAGCCCGGCACCCTTGGGCCCAGGCCTCCCACTCCCGGCCACACACAGGCCACTCCAAAATACCTGCCAGACCATCGTCCTCTTTCCCCCCTGAAGGCCTCTAGGCTCGCCCCAACCTCCACCCCACGCCTGCGCCGTCGGGGGTCATCACCCTGCAGCCCGAGCCCCAGACGCGAGCATCCCTGCAGTCTCCGATTCCTTCATCACCCCAGGCCGGAGCCAGCACGACCAATAAGGTGCCAGGTCCGCGGCCTCCCCGCCACCGACCAATCACGAGCGAGCCCCCCCGTCGTCGCCTTCCGCCAATGGGAGAAAGCCCGCGGGCCGGACCGACGAGGCACACGGACCCCACGAGCGCGGCGGCGGCGACAGCAGCGAGCCCGGAGAGAACACAACATGGCGGCGGCAGGCCGGACCGAACAACAGCAGCGGTCGCGCGAGGGAAGTGAGGTCTCCGCCTAAGGCGGGAAGCGCTGCCCCTCCCCCCGCCGCCGCCGCCTCCGCTCACCTCTCACCCTCCCTTCCACACAGCTCCCACACACTTACACACCTCTGCTCAGGAGAGCAGGGAAGAGCCGGAGCCGCCCCCGCGCTCCAGCGGAATAGGGCAATGCGGAGGCCTGGGCACCGCGGAGGGGAGGGGAAGCGTGCGTCACGGAGAGCGGAGCGCGCGCGAAGCGGGGGTACAAACAAGATGGCGGCCACGCCGTCCGCACCGTCCCCCGGCCTTCCCCTCCCTCTTCCTTGGCGCCTCGACTCTCAGTAGCCTCCAATGCGCAGAAGCTGAGTTGCTTGAAGTCTCGCGAGAATTGGGAAGGGGCGACGACTTGATGAAGCGGAAAAAAATCCGAGAGCCTTTTGACTCCGCCCTTTTTAGTGGGTGGGGGCGTTGCCTGGTGACCTCTGTAGTGCGTTCTAAACATGAGGCTGTACTGTGATACGCACACTTTTGAGTTTTAAGGACTAAGTTGTGTGTGCATGTTTTTTGGGGGTGTGAAGGACGATTTAGGGATCCCAGATTAAGTGTGCTGTTGAAGAAGACAGGTACCAGTTCTGCGAATGGTAATTTAACACCAAAACTGTAAAATGATAGAATCTAGAATAAAGAACAGCATTTCCCATGAATAATCAGCTTGTAGCCTTACAAAGGACATAGGCATTGTTTTTTTTATTATTATTGATTTTTTACAGAGAGGGATGGAGAGTCAGAAACATCAATCAGCTGCTTCCTGCACACCTCCCACTGTGCCAGCAACCAAGGTACATGCCCTCAACCGGAATCGAACCTGGGACTTTTCAGTTCACAGGCTCTATCCACTGAGCGAAACCAGTTAGGGTCAAAGGCATTGTTTTTTATCTTCTCCCAAGGAGTGAAGATACGGAATCGAACCTGGGACTTTTCAGTCCACAGGCTCTATCCACTGAGCGAAACCGGTTAGGGTCAAAGGCATTGTTTTTTTATCTTCTCCCAAGGAGTGAAGATATTCTCCCATTGATTTTTAGAGTGGAAGGAAGGGGGGAGGACACCGGTGTGAAAGATGAGAGTCCCGCAGGCGCCCCTGACCTGGGTGGGGATGGAACCTGCAACCCAGGTATGTGCCCTTCACAGGCTGAGGCTCTAACCACTGAACCATGTGACCAGATCCATACTTTATCTCAAATCTCCACAACTACTTAGTCCTAGGACATTAGTATTATTTTTACTTTACAGATGATCACTGAAGCTCAAAAGGCAAAGTAACTTGATCAGGTAACACAGCTAATAGGGGTCAAAACTCAATTTGAAGAGCTTCAAAACCTGTAGATAAATTCATCAAATAGGCATTGAATGGAATTATCTATAGTGAGATTATTCATACATTAGGTAGCAAGCACAGCGAGAAATGAGTTTGCTTCTGCTAGTGGTTACCTTGAATTTTACAAATGACCTTGGAGCCTTTCTGAGGCTTGCCTTGTATGGGTCCTCAACAATAACATCAGCAGACTGTCATTATTTCCTTCCTTTGAATTCATGACCCTGGTGATAACATAATTGTGAATAGTGGAATAAACCCTTGACTTGAATTCAGGAAAATTGTTTTCAAAATCCAATCTTAATAAATCTAACGTTAGGCACTCAATAAATATTTGATGAATGAATGAATGAAACCTAACTAGCTTTAAAGACCTGACTTCACTGAGTCTCAATTTCATCAGCTGTAAAATGATCTAATTCTGCCCAGCCAGTGTGGCCCAGAGGTTGAACATTGACCTATGAGCCAGGAGGTTATGGTTTGATTCCCGAGTCGGGGCACAGGTCCAGGTTTCAGGCTCCATCTCCAGTGGAGGGTGTGCAGAAGGCAAGCAATCAAAGATTCTTTCTCATCATTGATGTTTCTATCTCCCTCTCCCTTGCTCTCTGAAATCAATAAAAAAAAAGATATATTTTTTAAATGATCTAATTCATACCTCCTGGGAGTATTGGGGAGACTGAATGAAACAGTAAGGAGGAGTGCTTTGTAAATTGCAAATGTGTTATAAAGGAGTTAATAGTAAAAAAAATAAAAGTTAGGTGTGATGATATTTTCAGACATGAGAAATGACATAAAAAATTTAAAATGGATATTCAGAATAAGTAGTATATTTACATAGTAGAGAGGTAAACTTAGCTAATGGGGAAAAGTTATGTAAGTCCACAAATATTTACTGAGCATTTATTGCATATACTATGTTTGCAAAAGTTGTCAAAATGTGTAGAAAGCAACACAAATTAGTGTTGTTATTATTGCTATAATTAAATATCAACAGTGCATAGGGGCCACACTCAATTTCCCTCCAAGAGCCTGGAAATCAGGTTGTACTCAGAATTAAACTAATAAAAATTTACATAATAGAGGAAAGTAGCCAAGGGTGGTACTAAACATATTTAACAACAGGTAGTGCTCCAGCAGAATATAGCAGATCTGAAGTCCTGGGACTACTCTGTGCTAGGTGTAAAACCCTCAGTTGCTAGTTTGTGAATAGCAGGTCCCAAGGAATCCCAGGTGACAGGAGTTGTCAGGAGGCTTAGGATAGCAGCTATTTACCAGCTAGTGTGAAGTTATTTCAATATTTTAATACTTTGTGATAATATTGACTTGTGTACACAGGGAATATTAGTCCTTGCTGTACCTTATTATCAATATTCTGTGCCCCTCTCTTTCTTAAACCCTCCTTATCAAGGCTTTCCCTAGGAGATTAGACTTCTCACCCTATGTCATCAAGCTTAGCCTTGTTTTAATTAATGAACTGTGAGTATAAATGGCAAGAGCCACCTCTGAGCAGAAATGATTGGGCCATCTCATGATTCTGCCTTTTTTCTTTTCTTTTCTGCCATGAGAGCAGCATGTCCCAAATAGAGGTACTTCAGCATTAGTCCCAGAATGAAGTGCACAGTCCCAGCAGACACACATGACATGTAATGTAAGAAATAAACCTTTGTTGTAAGCCATTGAGGTTGTTTTAGTTGTTTGTTACTGCAGCATAACTTAGCTAACCTAAACTGACTAATACAGCCCTGAAATTAGTTATCTATGGGGGTAAGCCAACAGCATATCTACAAACGTGATCAAAAAACAAACCAACCCAGCTAGTGTGGCTCAGTGGTTGAGCGTCAACCCATGCACCAAGAAGTTACCATTCTCGCCCTAATTGGTTTGGCTCAGTGGATAGAGCCTCGGCCTGTGGACTGAAAGGTCTCAGGTTCGATTCCGGTCAAGGGCATGTACCTTGGTTGCGGGCACATCCCCAGTAGGGGGTGTGCAGGAGTCAGCTGGTCGATGTTTCTCTCTCATCGATGTTTCTAACTCTATCCCTCTCCCTTCCTCTCTGTAAAAAATCAATAAAATATATTTTTTTTAAAAAGAAGAAGTTACCATTCTCTTGCTAGTCAAGGGCACACGCCTGGTTTCAGGCTTAATTCCCTGTTGGGGTGTGCATGAGGTAGCCAATCAATGTTTCTCCTCTCATCAATGTTTCTATCTCTCCCTGTCCATTCCTCTATAAAAGTCAATAAAAAAAATCTTTAAAAAGAAAAACCTCTGATACAGGTCATATAGGAGGAACCAAGAAGGCACATGTGATTGTAATTTAATAAAAGAAACTTTAATCAATCTTGTCAACCAGCCATTCTGTATCCTATTCTGAGAGTCTGTAAACCAAAGGGCTTAATTAGCCATGACAACCCCCCAAAAAAAGCAATCACAGAGGCAAGCACTAGCATTTCCTCTCAGCCCTATCTCCATCAAGCCAACCTGAGCATTCAGATCTTCTTGTCCATGTCATCCCTATAGTGCAGCAGTCACCAACCAGTGGTCCATGAGGTCCAAAAGGTTGGCAACCGCTTCAGTGGGTGAAAATATTTCAGACTGCCTCAGCCAAGATAACTTCAACATGCTTTCCTGGTGTGATTCTAAGCTCACACAGCAAATGTCTTGCCGATAGGGACAGAATTTAGTAATCTGCCACCTAAATGATTCCAGTTCTTTTGATAACTGCATTCTTTTCATATAAATTAGCCTACTGGATTCTGTCTTATATAACTATCCGAGTAGCCAAAAGATGAAAACATCCATATCTGTGAATTTAGTGAACTTAAAGATGGTTCCACTCTGAGTCACCACTTCTGAGTTTGCAAGGCTGAAGACCAGTTCTGGGATGAGGTAAATTCCTTGAGGTTATAGAGGGACCTATCAAGAGGGCCAGCTGAGTGACCTTAAGCTGTACCCCTCTTTCTCATTATGTGTTTTCTTTGATCTAAAATAAAAGCAGTAAGTACTAAAGAGACATGATTCACATGCTGTAGGAGTTAAAAAGGGGAGAGATTACTTCCACTTAATATGAAATAGGGGAGGAGTTCAGGAAAGATTTGCAAGGATGACATTTGAACTGGTTCTTAAAAAATGAGTAGAATTAGGGGAAGAGCATGCCATGTGTAGAGAAAATATGAAGTCAGGGATCAACTGAGGAAAGATAGAGTAAGAGAAAAAGAAGAATTATCTGGAAAGATATATTAAAGTCAGGTTAAGGCTCTTGGGTTTTATTTTTCTGCCATAAAGAGGTAGTGATGGAACTTTTTGTTTTATCGTTTTAACATTTTAAGTGTACAATTTAGTGGCATTAAGTACACTCACATTGTTGTACAACCATCTCTACCATCCATTTCCAGAATTTTATTGTCTCCAACTAAAACTCTGTACCCATAAAACCATAACTCTCTGTCCTCCCCTCCCTCAGTTCTTGGTAACCACTGTTCTATTTTCTGTCTCTATGAATTTGATTATTCTAGGTATTTCACAGAATCATGCAATATTTGTCTTTTTGTATCTGGCTTATTTCATTTAGCATAATGTGTTCAAGATTCACTCATGTCATAGCATATACCAAAATTTCATTTCTTTTTATGGCTGAATATAGTATTCCATTGGGTATCTATAGCATATTTGGTTTATCTATTCATCTATCGATGGACATGGATGTTTTCATCTTTTGGCTACTCTGAATAATACTGCTCTGAATATTGGTGTACAAATACCTGTTCGAGAATCTGCTTTCAATTCTTTTGTGTGGTGAAATTGTGCCCAGAAGTGAAATTGCTGGATCATATGGTAATTGGTGAATTTTTCTGTTTTTATACAACAGTATAGTAAGAAATCACTATACAATTTCCACAGCAGCTACACCATTTTACATTCCCAATGATAGTTTTTACAAAGAAGAGTGACATGGTCGAAACTGTGTTTAAAGACAGTCTTGCAGAGGAAGTAGGATGGAATAGGGTTGCAGAATAAGCAGTTGGAGACTTCCTCAATAATTCAGGCAAATTGGAATGAAGGCCTGAACACATCAATAGCAATGAGAATGGAAGGAAGAGGATGCAAATGCAGAAGGGGTGACTATTGATTGGCTATTGCAGGGATGGGGATCAAGAGGTGTT